AGTCCAATATAAACACGTTTTGATACAAGAAGAATATTGGTGGTTTAATCTGGTGTGATAATGGCGTCTGCTTTATGGTTGATTGTTCTTTTTTTTGTCTCCTTTTGATCTTTAGTTTTATCACTCTTATCTGATTTTTCTAATTTATTTATCTGAACTTTTTTCAATTTAAACGAAATTACCCGCTATATAACCTTCATCTCTAGATTTCACTTCTGAAAGTTACAGCACAGATGAACTAGATTTCACTACAAAAGAGAGAATTAAGATGGTTATGAATAATCCAAAATGCCCGCTTTGATGTAATAATTCAGTCTTATATGCCTTGTGCAAAATGGAAATGGAATTTGAGTATTTGCCAATTCATTTGTATCCATTTCCACCAGTTTTGAACTTCAATTTCTCAATTGTTATCCTTTTTGATGTTTCTGAATTTTGTAAGGAAAATTTCATCTTGCTGAGGAACACCATGTGCCCTTCTGTTTGCAGTATGTAAAAGTAAGCTTGTTTTTCTGAATTCAAATTGTAATTGTGATCAGATTGTTCAAATAGGGGAACCTATCTTTAACTGATTCTTGTGTCAGAATACAATATGGTGGCAATCTGAAGGTTTGAGTGTTATAACTGACCCATTCACCTTTTCTTAGCTTGTGTTTTTCTAAGGTCAGTTTTCACCAACACAGGAGTTATGACATTTTTATTCAGTTTCAGATGGTAACAAAACAAGTCTGTAAACATTACAGATTAGGTTACAGTACTTCATCATAAAGTTGTTTTTCTTTATTATGTACCCACTTCCACATCTACATGTAGTGCCTTTCAGTCTAAATGTTCCTCAATGCACACTCCATGGCTTTTCACATGGACCATCTGCACAAAGAAGCATACTATTTGAATGCTTTATCCCCTTTTTTTGGTCAGGTCATGGTTGACACTCTGGTGCTTTTCAAAATATTCCTGAAAGCTTATTCAGACTTTAAGAAGTCTGAGGGATCCACTTATTGTCAAAATAATTGATTATCGTCGCTAAGAATTTATAATTTCGATTATTGTATATCAAATTTCATAAGTGATTATATGTCAAAGTTATATGTCCCCATTAACAAGTAGTAATCTCTTCCACATAGTTTCCCTTCAGCACATAACATACCCACAATAAACTATAATAACTAATCAAAACAAGAATATACTTCTAGTGCACAAAAATATCCCATGAAATTAAGAATTTTGGTATGTTTTTAATTATGTATTTACAAGGTTTCTCTATTAAATTATTTCGATTATTAACCGATACTCTGCCATCAATAATCAAACTCAATTTGGTAATCAATACCCAGCTCTAGATCCATTGCTTAGAAATGTTCAAAATTTCAACTTCTGGTGTGGGCTGATCATAAAGTAAATCAATTTGTTATAGTACTATTGGTTTATTTGTTGTAATATAAGTATTAGTAGTCTAATAAGAAATTAGTAAGTTAGTAAGATGAGAAGAGTTAGTAGTACTATCAATGGTAGATCATATTATTTATTAGTAGACAGGTTGTTAACTAATGATATATGATATTGTGAAATAGTAGGATTCTGGTAATATATTTGCTCCTGTATGTAGTATTATTTGTTATATTAGTAGGGAAATACTAAACTCATATGGTATGATGTTGTCCAGGAAAACCCAGTGAGAGTTTCATTACATACCATTTATTTTTAAAGTGATACTACGTCTTAGAATCAATATAAAATATAAGAATTTTGAACTTGGCAAATAAGAGCCAGTAGATATACCTGGTGTTATAAATAACATAACAGGATCCTTATATAATTCGACAAATTCAAAAAACTTCGTAATTATCCATAAATATGCAATTAACTATTGAAAAATGCTTAATATCAAGATTAAGAGTTTTTCAATAATTACTTAGTTTTATGAATTTTCCAATTTTCCAGATTTTACATGGATTCTGTTGTAACTTTATGACACCAGCTAAGCTAACTGATGAATATATACTCATATTGACCATTTCGAGAACTTAAATTTTATGTTCATTCTAAGACGTATCTGTTTAAAAATGAAAATTTACTTCATTGATAAAAATGATTTTCTAACCACCATTAGTGAAATTACCCTAAAAAGAAATAGTCTGTTCAATTCCATCTTGACATTGTCAAGTTATTATGAAACATTGTCTTATACCTTGAATGCAATAGCAACCTTAATGTAGCCAGTAAATACAGCAAATCAGAGCTCATGTCTCACTTCTGGCTTATCAGACTCTCTGACTTGGAATATTCGCAAATGTACAATCTCCAATGATACAAGAAAGGTTGCTATTACAGTCAAGGTATAAGATGAAGTTTGTGATGGCTCAGCAATGTGAAGAGGATCCAAATTTAGTTATACAATTTTCTTATAAACTTTGTGAAGAGTTAGAGGAATTTTTAAAGCACTCACAAAATTCTTGAAATGTACAAATTTCAAAGAAAGTGGGAGATAAGGAGTTAAAAGTGCCCAGATATCAAACTCCCTTTTAAGAATATTACACTAGCATAAATTATCTGATATGTACTATGAAACTATAATGATATAAAAGATATTAAAATTCCTCGGTTTATTTCACTAGTCTAATGTTTTCTTTGATCAAAGAACATATATTCTGATTAGAACAAGGAGGTTACAACAGTTATTCAAGAACCACCCAAACATGCCTTTATGGTTAAAAAGAAAATTAGATATGTGAGACATAAGTCATGAATCAGGGCATTTTACTCCGACCTGATATACAAAGAAAAAAAAGAAAAACATGCAGAGGTTAAATCATGGAAAACAGATATTTAATTAATGGTACAATAAAAATAAAATATGGTTTCACTTAAGTTTTTTTGATATTGAAATGGGTTTGGCTCACTGCATATTTTGCTGTTAGTTATTTACATTGTAAGTCATGTTACTCTCAAATGTTTTTCGATGAACTTTTATGTTTATTCCCACCTCTTTATAAAAAATGTTAAGATATACACAAACATCAACTGATATTTTTTGAGAAAAAATGTAATAGGAAGTCAAAAGGAAGAGCCTTGAAGTTTCTGTAATTGAATAGCACACAGTTTTTGCTTAATAAAAGTATCATGTAAAATCTAATGGTTGTATCTCAATATGCTGTATCTTGTAGTTGCCTTTTTAAAGGGATAGATGTGCAATTTTGGGGGTTGATTTCAGTATTGAATATATCTAAATAGTCTTCAGAAGTTCTAGAAATGTACGAAAATTGCTTAATTCTTTCAAATATATTTCAAACTAGGAATTTCCTTTCCTTTTTCTATCGATATCTTTTCTATATATGGCAGTGTCTCTAGAAAAGACAACTCTTTTTAACTTCCAAATGCAGATAATTCTGGACACACATGGATTTGAAGGCTCAAATTTCAATGGTGAGCTGTGTACACTATTATTGCTTGACTTGAAATCTACAATACAATCTAATGTCTTTTCTGAAAACCATAGTATTTTATGCATAGTAAATTTCTCATTTTTTTAAAATGTTATACAGTGGATTATGAATGTTTGAAATTATTGTAATTGAGTGGCTATGATATACAGCCTGAGTCAAAAAGACCAGACAGTATATATTTATTCAAGGCTATCTCTTATCAATTTAATTGTTTTTCAATGATACATACTGTTACAGTAATAATACTAATCTTGAGTGTTATTAACCACTACTTCTAGCTGTAAATAACTGCCACCTTTTCAAAAGGATTTTACAGAATTGTGATGGTCAAGTTTTTTTTTTTTTTCCCCAGTAGCATGACGTTGGATGGATTGCCCAAGTCAATTTAGATTGTATAAATTTTTATTGCGTACTGCAGGAGTTTTGAAATTTTGGAGGGTGATGAGATGCTATGGACAATTATGCTTTTAAGTCGTTCTATTCAGTCATGTTATATTGAAAAAGATTGCAGGGAAAATCTATGATACCGATTTGCTTTTAAAGGAACTTGAAAGTGTTCCAGTACTTTCAGATACAATATGGCTGTAATTGTGCTGTCAGATCAATTTTTCTGGAATTCCAGGCACACCAGGAAGAAATTGTCCCTGATTTTCAACAGCTATTGAAACCCTTTAAGTAGCAAAAAAGGTTTCTTTATCACATTAATTAATGACACACTTTAATTATCAGAATCTTTTGAGTCTTATAAAAAATAAGAAAAGTGAAAAGCTCAATATTAGGATATTCGTGTCACGATATTGACTTCAAATATAACCTAGTTAAATCACATCAAAGGATTGACTTGTTTCTTGTCCACTGATCAGAGGAGTGACCTGTCTCCTAGACTGGACACCTTGTCCCCTCAAACCTGAAAAACTTGGCTGTCCACCCGAATAAGTGTCAACATCATGTCTTTCATATTTAAATTGATACTTTTAAGCTGCTAGGTTTTAACTTGTGATGTTTTGTTTGACCACAAACATTCATAGTCTACAATGATTGATTTGTTGGATTTTATTATTTTATTCAGGTTTAATATCTAGGCAACCATTTTAAACCACCAGACATCTACATCAAATTTTACACCTGTGACATGTCCGAATATTTTTTCAATACTTAAGAATGGAAAAACTTGAAAATGATTTCAAGTCAATTTTCAAGCGTTTTCAAAATTCTTAATTCTTTTGAACAAATTGACATACATTTACAAATGTTCATAGTTTACTATATTTTCAAAGTTTAATATATTTTCAAAATTTTACTATATATATTCATATTTTACTATATTTTCAAAGTTTACTATATATTCATAGTTTACTAAATTTTCAAAGTTTACTATATTTTCATAGGTTACTATATATTCATAGTTTACTATTATATTCATAGTTTACTATATATTCATAGTTTACTATATATTCATAGTTTACTATATATTCATAGTTTTCAAAGTTTACTATATTTTCATAGTTTACTGTATTTTCAAAGTTTACTATATTTTCATAGGTTACTATATATTCATAGTTTACTATTATATTCATAGTTTACTATATATTCATAGTTTACTATATATTCATAGTTTACTATATTTTCATAGTTTATTATGTATTCATAGTTTACTATATATTCAAAGTTTACTATATATTCATAGTTTACTATATTTTCACAGTTTACTATATATTCATAGTTTACTATATTTTCATAGTTTACTATATTTTCATAGTTTACTATATATTCATAGTTTTCAAAGTTTACTATATTTTCATAGTTTACTGTATTTTCAAAGTTTACTATATATTCATAGTTTACTATATTTTCATAGTTTACTATATTTTCATAGGTTACTATATATTCATAGTTTACTGTATTTTCAAAGTTTACTATATTTTCAAAAATTCCAAAGCAAATGTCAAGTTTCCTTGTATATCTTGTCTATACAGCTAAAAATATCTTATGTCCAATTTACAAGAAAAATGCAATGAGTTTGAGATTAAAATCATAAGTCGGAGCATAATTTCAATATTTCTTCACTATCTCATATGGATGATATATACAAATTCTTTCAAATTTTTTCTCTTAACTCTACACCGCAAGTAGGTCTATTGTCATGATAGAATCCATGTTCTTTAAAATATTATTTTGATTGGATGCACATGACAAATTATGAAACCTAATAAATTTTTAATATATTTTTTTTACAAGGGAATATGATACGAAATGTAAATATTTTGTTAAAGGTATTTAATACAGGATCAGCTGTAGGTATATTAAACTCTCATTATAAGTTATATATTATTATCACCCAATTGTATGCCTTCATTATGACTCTATATGGGCTAGGTATCTAAGAAAGCCACAAAGAAATTATATGTGATATTTTACCACAATAACAAACGTCCATGACTACAGTATGCCACCTGGGCCTTGGCTAAGTCTCTCAGTCAAACATATTTCCAAAATTTTCAATATGTTTTTCAGTTGTCATTAAAGGGACATTTTCAGTGGTTGATTTGAGTCTTGAATATATGTAAATAGTCTTCAGAAGTACTAGAAACGTATGAAAATCAGATAATTCCTTTTAACATATTTCAAACTAGGAATTTTACTCACTATTTCTATACATGTCTTTTCAACACAGATAATTCTGAACACACATGGATTTGAAGGCTCAAATTGCAAAGGTGAGCTGTGCACACTATGACTAATTAGCTAAGCTAAAAAATTCCTTTTTCTCAGACTAAGGTAAGATTGGTCGAACAAATGGCCTAGCTCAAGATCACAATGAACATTACCATCTCTTTGATTTCACCAATTTGAGTGCATAAAAAATAGGCTACTTTTATTTTGGTAGTGTAAGGTTTTAAGGATGGGTAAATTTTGATACACTTGAAATTGTTTCAATTAAGACAGGCTTCAGTGAATCTTTTAAATAGACAGGTATAAGTACCCAAATTATCGGAAAATATTCATGGGTGCTTTATATTATTTAAAAGCAAATCTGGTTGAAGTCAGTCTTTAACATTATTAAAAAAAACACAGTAATTTGTAGATAATTTTTATTGACCCAAATATATATAATGATTTATAAATCATGCATGCAATGTTAATCATAATTTTATTAGGTTAAAGTCGGAAATGAAGATAATTTATGTGACAAATGTAATGGATGTAATTTTGTTAAAAATTTTGATTTTAGTTATACAATATATATTTTCAAATTCTTCAAAAAATTTACAAAAATTATTTCCCACATCAAACTCTTGTGATTGATCGGCCAATAGTTTTGTGTGAGAGTCTGACTGACTTTTCAGACTTACATGATCTGGTGACTGTTTTTAGGTCTTAAAGGAACCTTCCGCTTTTTTTGTAGGTTGAAATTTTTTTTTGCTCAAATATGTGAAAACTATAAACCAAAATCTATAGAAATGTATCCCATAACATATCTGAAAGTTTTAACTAAAAAAATCTAGCCGTTAATTCTTATACTCCAAAACTTCGTAACCTCCTAAAGTTTGTTATGCTTTTTGCAAGCTGTTAGAAAACTACTATACTGATTTGAGTAAAATAAATGCCTTATTTTAGAGAAATATATTTTTTCTAAAGATTTCAACCAAATATAACGAGCCATTATGAAGTCAAACACCAAACCTAGGCCAAACTGCTTAATTAACAATTAGTACTGTCAGGTTTTAATTAACCCTTTTAAAATAAATTCAGTTTGACCAAGTAGATACATAAGATATAAATAGCATACTAACTTTAGGTATATTTTTAGTTATAATTTACAATGTTTTTTGAGAATGTTTTACAAAAACAGGGGAATGCCCCTTTAATAAAATGCAAAGAACTAAATTTGAAATCATGGCATTTAATCATAAAGAATCGACAAATTAAATTTTATGTCTTTCACTTGGCATGGTCTCTTTAATGATGGTTTCATCTGTAATGATAATGATTTTGTAATTGCCTTTAAGTCTATTATTTTTTATTTACTTGATAAATTATGAAAGAATTTTAATGTCTTTATGTTCATTGGTTTCTGAGAGTTTCTCACATGAGTGAAAATGACCCAGTGATATAAGTTTTAGTATTTAGAAAAGAATGTTTTGAATAGACCTGTGTCATCACCAAAACAAATGATAAAAATCTTTAATGTAAAAAATTTAAGGCTTAATGAGAAAACAAATCCAGAATTTTTTGCAATAGGAAAGGTTAGGGTTCATGTCATCGTCTCAATGTCAGTTATTACGAAATTTGAATTATACCTTGACTGCAATAGCCACCTTTCTTGTATCGTGGAATACAGCAAATTGATTGGATGTCACCAGAGCTCTTGACAAAAAAGGCTATAAAACATTATAGCTTTCTGTTCACAGATTTTCTGTGAGGCCTCCAACTGGCTTCAATTACAAACTTGATACATTAAAGGTGATTATTACAGTCAAGGTATAAAAATGACTTGACATTGTGACGATGGGGTCATGTAGAGTCTACAGACTTTTCAAATGGGGCTCACCAGCAATCTTGACCCATGTTAGCCATTTGTGCTCAGTCTTAGTTCTGATCCAGATTGAGATGTGGTACAATCAAATCAGTAAAAATGATCAATGGTGACACAAGTAAATGTTGAAAAGCATTAGATGTAAGTCAAATAGCATTAGTGCTGGCTTGATATATTGGTGAATCGATGTATCGCGATACATGCCATGATATGCGTATCTTATCGCGAGGTTGTGTATCTATACTTTACGATACTCCTCATTCCTTCAAAAAGTTAGAATTTTTGTAAGTTAAAATGAAGATAAAATATTAATTTTTATTCCATTACCCTGATCGTGACCCTTGTATTGTGATACGTATCGCATCATGGCATATACCCATTACCCAGCATTATATAGCATGGTATTGTAAAACAATAGTCAAATTGTCAAACTTATTCAACAAATAAAAAATTTCATTGCAATGTTGCAAAATTGATCTTTAGTTCTTTTATTAGTATCAATCTATTGATCAAAGTTGAAAAAGATATAAGTTGAAATAATGTATGTATTCAAAAGAAAATATTAAGAGTTATCTTTGCATTGATCCTTTGAAGTGGTTGTGTTATCTGTCTAAAACTGATATTTTTAAAAACATGTTTTTGATGTGCACAAAATTTGTTTTTCAAAGGTTCTTTTTGTGCATCAATCATTATCATATGAGAATCACAAAACAAAAAGACAAAACAAGGTAGTCTACAGTTTTATAAGATCCTTTGATATTACAGAAGAACTAAGGGAGCTGTGGTTGCTGAGTGAGTTTAACGCTTGTACGCTAACCAGAAGGCCCAGAATTCAATCCAGGCTTATGGTTGAGATAATATTTTTATATTTTCTCACCTGGTGTCCCCATGTCAGTGATGCAGGTAAGAAGGGCTGACATGGAAAGAGTGTCTTGTCAATCAGATTATGACAATAAACCAAGACCCTGTATGCTACAGGCTGTGCACCTTAAAAGATCCTTCGACAGTTGGAAATGGAATGCAAATGCTGCTGTCCTGCCAAAATTTTCCTCATTACACACTGCATGGTTTTGCCCATCTTTATTGGCTCTATTACGGTCAGAAGAGTAGACATAAAACTCCATTCATTTTATTATTTTTTTTTTTTTTTTTTTACAAAAGAACAAAGCTAGATGTCTGAACAATATGGAAGTGTTTTGCTTTGATCTGTAACTTACTGTATATTTATAATATTTATATAAAAAGATGACAACTTTTGACAAGTGCTGTAAAGTTATGATCTAATTCAAAATCTCATTGATTTTACTTTTTCTTATTGTACAAACAGATATTTCTGGGCATATATCTTAGAATTATGGCGACACTTGAACCAAATTTGTATTGAGTTTTTTTGGTTGACATTTTGATGCATTGAACGTATTGGTAAAGACTTTGAGAAAGAATTTCTTCATATGAATACAGGCAGTTCTACTTTTCTTTTGATATATTATATTGTATGTACTTCAAGTGCTTAAACTGTACCGACTAGCTACTTTAACCATGTTTCCACTGAGAATTGTAAAGTAAAGCTAGCTTTAAGTTAGAGTTTAACTGGTTCCCGAACGACTTTAGCCTCAATCACAAAGTCACACATTCTTGACAACTCATGATGAACAAGACTACAGTTTAGACCAGTAAATAATGCAGTAGACCGGAAAGACCAGTACTCCTCCTATTGCCAAACAAGATAAAGCTGGCTTTTTGCTTTTCCACTGGTTAAGCTTTAAGCTAGCTTTTAGTTGGCCTCCGATAAATTGCCAAACTCAAAAAGAGAGGATTTTGGTTCCAGAACCGTAATGGTTCGGCAATTTGCCAAGTGGAAACACACGAAAGCTAGCTTGAAGCCGACTTATTTCCTCAGTGGAAACACAAGTTTAAATGGTGTGGACGGTATATCACAATGTGCTGTCAAACTACCCTACTGCTACATGGTACTATAGTACATGTTAGTGATATAGTCGAAGTATGGGAACTGTCAACTCTACTTGTAATTAATGAATAGGCTAATTATCAGGGTTTTTGATCAACACCTTTAAATTATAGCTTGTCAAAGTTAATTATGACTTTATATAGTAATTGGCCACGGTCTGCAATGACCTTGAACCTCAACTGTATTTTCTGTTAATAACTTTTGATGACTGTATCTGAAAATTGTTACCAGTCTGAAATATATGCCTACACATATGGGATAATAGTGGCTGCCTCCATTTTCACTGTTCCTCAAGAAACCATACAGAAACAAATGTATTTGGATTCATATCCATTTATAAAGATATAAAGTTTAAGATCAACCTAGCTCATACTTCACAAGTCTCGCTAAAAACCTTTGTTTTGGTGAACAGGCATT